GGCAAAAAACAATCATTTGAAATTAATAGTTTTTTGGTTAGAGAAAAAAAAATATTTTATAAAATTAAAGAATTAAGATAAAATTTTATATAAAGTTAGACATGTATTTTAACCTTTAATGTTAACTATACTGTTGATGAGTCATAAATAGTGCTGTGCTATTGATTTTTAATACTCCCTACATCACAGGGGACGCCCACTAATTCCTGGATCTAGATCTCACGCCTCGTTTGGTATGATGGAAGAGTTTTTAATGAAATTGAAATCAGAATCGGAATTGAAATTGGAATCAAAATCGGAATAGAATTGAGTTTTAAAAGTGTGTTTGGTATGAAGATGGAATTATAATATAATATTAATTTATATATGTACTTAAAATAAGAAAAAACTAAATTGCCCCTTTTTTTAAAATTAAAAAGACCTATCTTGTTATAAATGGACAAAAAAGATGAGGATAGTGGGGTTCACAAATTCAATTCAAGGGAATTGAAGCAATTCTATGGTCAATATGATGAAATTGGATTCTAGCATTTTTTGTGGAATTAGGATTTTTAAGAATTGCAACTCTTGCATATCAATCATGTTTAAATTAGGATTCCATCTTTGATTTCATTTTCACCTTGCCAATTCAATGCTACCAAACATGACCTAAGTAGTTAAAAGAAAAAAGAGAGGAAGAAATTGAATGCATTTTGAAATTCGGAGATGTTCCCTTAAAAATGAAATTGGCTTTTGGAGAGTTGTTAGTGATGATATTAATGTTACGTGCTGTCATATTTTTACTTTTCCACACATTCTCCTCTATTTAGACATTTTTAAACACAATCAAATATATCATTATTCAAAATTTAAATCTAGTCTTAGTTAAATATCCCCATCTTATACTCAATCATTTTTCATGGGAATGACTGAAGTAGTCTTGAGAGTTTTTCGGATAAATAACGACAGCATTCACCAGATACATTCTTGATGGGATTAGTGAGTAATGAAAGAAGGAATTTAAATCACGAACTACTACATATATAGTTGGTGTAGGTAAAATTTTGATTTTTAAACTTATAAAAATTACTATTCACCGATGGTTTAAAATTGAACAAAATATAGTTACAAACAAAATAACATAATCACAACCTGCAACTATTTCTTTTGTTTTCTGGAGACTGCCTTTTCAACCTGGATCTTCAATGATCTGCTGACTTGCACACAGCTTATCTCTCCCCTTTTCCCCCTGCTGCAATCAAACTTATCTGAAACAACACAGGTGCGTAAATAAGAAGGCTCACTGTGACAAGCATATGGATTAGTTCTATTACAGAGCCCAATACTTTATGACTGATCACCATGACAATTTATGCACATCTAGTTATTTGCATGTCCCAAAAAAAATGATGTGCAAATGAACTTGCCAGGTCATTTATCTATCTATGTACCTGAACTGCAAAACGAATAATCAAGAAGTAACTGATCACACTGTCCCCCCACCAAAAAAAAAAAGGATGACTTCAACAAATTAATCCAGTGATAAGGGATCTCAACAAGGAGAGGGCGATGACAAGGTAAAGCACTCAGGTAATACAATTTCTAGTACCTTTGATTCTTTTCACAATGATTACACAAATCTAACTCCCACACCTAATAATGATTGGAAGACCCATCAATTCAACTTTGACTTTCAGGCACCCAATTACCTAACTTTGCTTGCCAATTGTGTTTGTGGGTCACCCCATTTAGCACTCTAAGAGATTCTTGCCCTTTGACACCTGTCTAAACCCCATTGGCTGATCATGTAAAACCATCTTTTACTAGCTTGACGTTTACAACATGTCTACTTGTTGGATAATCTGTGCTTACCCAAACGAAAAGCAACGTTAATCATGGCCACTTGAGACAAATGTTGGCGTCTTTTTCATGTTTAATTTGAAAGAGATTGACACTTGACAGAGACCCTACTGTGGAGGATGATTCTCTTGGCTCATTATTTCTCTTCCAGCCGAAATAAATGGCTGCTCGTCATCAGTTTCTTGGATCTGGACGCGTCTTATTAATTAGAATCATCAATTTTCCATTCGTACCAAACCCTCTTTGTAATAAAGTATATACAATGAACCACCAAACTGACTGCAGCCTCTGCTATACTTTTCTATAAAAACTGATAGCCACAAGTTTGCAGCTATATATCATGTCTCGTTGAATTCCATGAAAATAAGTCTCCTTACTCCTGTACGTTAAGATTATTGAAGATCAGCCTCAAGCATTTGTATGAACTCTTGACTTGATAGGTAATAGATTTAGGAGTTTCTTTCTTTTCAAACTCATATACACACGTATATTTAATTCAAAACTAGCTAATTCAATATGATCTTTTACTCTTTAGCGACCTACCCCCCGCACATTGTCCTTTTTTCGAAAATTCAGGCCAAATATATGCATCACTCGTTTGAATAGTAAAAATTTCACAATAAACAGATAAATATAAGTCCCATGTACGGCAGATCTGAGAGAGTAGGGCGAAGAGGCTCAATTTTAAGAGCTTCAACCATTAATCATATGCTTTTTTATCCACTTATATATTTGATTTTAGATATAATTCTATATAATGTGAAATTTGCTACTTTTAAAAAAATTTTATTGTGCATTTATGTCTTCTTATTTGAGGCAATTTTGTTTAAGATATAATCAAGTACTAAAATATGTACACTTCTCCTAACGAAATTTGAATCTTGTTCGCTATATTTTGTAAGAAATCAACTCTTTTATTAGGCCAAAGTTAGTTGCTACTTTTAACCATTTACGACTTAAGAGACCATCAGACCAACTATATTCTTTTTGCGCAAGCCAAAACTTACTACGCACTCAGGCATATTCGGTCAGCTCTCTTGTGGCTCACAAGAAAGCGGACGGCTAACTCAGTTAGAAACGTAGTTTCTTTCCAATGCCAAAGTATGGAATTGTCATGTGCGAGCGTGGAGTTGAAACAAGATTTCACGTACGTTGTCGGCGGCTTAACCAATGATGTTAGAATATAGACAAACGAAACCCAAACCCAATTCCACAACGGCGAAAAGCCAGAGAGCAAGAGACCTAAAATTTCCTTAAAGCCGCTTCTTCAAGTGTATATTCAAAAGGTAGAGTGATGGCTTCCCTTGCCTTACGTGGAATTGCTTTCTCAGTATGATTCAGAAATACAATACTTGTCAGGCAATTTTTTGACTCAGTACAGTCAATCTCAGCTCATGGACCTAAGCTTTCGTTGTTTCGGGAGAGACATCTCACCAACCCCACGTACAATATAATAAAGCTAGATCATTAAAACCATGAACAGAAGATCAAGGTGAGGATTAACCTCAGAGACAAGAGTTTAATTTGCATACATAGCTTAGCTTTTTAAAAAAAAAGGAGGCCAGGGGAGGCACTCAGTGGGTTTGATCGTGGCTACATTGAATGATAATTGTGGGTAGATGTAAGAACTTGCTTTCTCTGATTTAACCTCACAACTCGACAACGTTTTCTTTTGTCTGTATCAGGCGCTTAAATGACCCCTTGTTTCTGATGGAATCCTTCTGCGTTATTATATTAAATGCCTCAAATCTTATCTTCTTGTCTAACCCAAAAACAAAAGAGGGGAATCTCACTGCTGTTAAAAACGTCTTTTCCTGCTAAATTAGCTCGTTCTATCCTCAACCTCAAGTTGCATTCAGCCGGCGCAACAAAATGTTTCTTCTACTCTGAATCATTGTGACTTTTGTGCATAACTAATATTTCCGACTTAAAAAATATAAAATATTTTTAATTAAATTTTTTAATAAAATAATTATTTATCTTTAAATTAACACCATTTTTATATATTTATTTTTATTTAATAAATTATTTTTTTAAATAAATATAAAGTAATTTATTTATCATAAGCACTTTAAAAAAACATGTTAATTATATCTTAAAATATTAAAAATATTTTATATTTTTTAAATATTTAACTTTTTAAAAAATATTTTATATTTTTTTTAAAAAAATAATTAATAATAATAATAGTAGCAACAATAGCAGAAGATTGAATTTTATGTTCAATTTCGCATTATTCTCTAGTCTGAAAGCAAAAAAGATTCCAACTTTATCTTCTTTACAATACATGATGATTGATTGATAATTTGCTTTACTTTTCAAAATTTCTTTTTAAAGTTGCAACTGTGAGCAAAAACCAAAACTCTTTCATGTCAGGATTTTAGTATGCTAAAACTAACTAGCATTTTGTGCCTTTTTACTTTTGGTTTATATATGGTATTACACTGAAGACCTTTTGAGCAAAGCTAGCTTAATTAGCTTAATAATGAAAGTCTTTCGTCTTTTACATGTGTCCATAGTGCCTCTTTCGCTACTTTGTACAAATGTTGTCATCTTCATAATAACTATAAAAATGATAAGTTTGACTTACAAGAAACATGCTCGGAACCTGGGAACCATGACAAATCGGCAATGAGAGTTCCTCGTCAATATATTCATTAAATAAGAAAAATGAATAGTCATTAACATAAATAACAGTTCAATTATCTCAATTCAGTTTAATTAAACTCACATTCAATGCAGCGCCATACCTGTCACGGTCACTTCTTACTAGATATGCACATATAGATATTTATAGCCAAGACATAATGATATACACAACTGTTAATTACAGCGTTCATATAGCCTGGGGTGAAAATGCATCTGCATGGTTAAAAATTTGGCATGTAGTTAAAAGAACCCACAAAAGGAACTTGAAAGATCACTGTTACAGATAAGTGTATAAGGCGCAGATTTTTTTCTTCGTCATGAAAATGAAACAGACACGTGGGATTGTGTGGGTGACAAGTTGGCATTTTCTTCTTCAGACAAAGAAAAATATTGGCCATTGGACCTACAGATAGCCTACAATTAAAAAGGCAAAGGTGACTCTTTACAGAGCAAAAGAAGGCAAGAGGCACACGGTATCTAATATTGTAGGCCACAATGATCCTTCCATTTGAAGTTTTAATAACGTGACAGAAATGGCCTTGACATACTTTCTTGATGGCTATAACAGCATATTCTGCAGCCCAAGTTCTTCCATCAAAACTTGAAAGCTCGCAAGTTTTTTTCCCCCTCTTTTTTAAAGGAAGGCCAAACTAACCATCCATCCCACAGACTTTGAAATCCTTTTCTTCTTACAACTTCACCGACCAAATTCAATGATGGGGGTTGATGATGAGTATATTCAAGCATCAGAAGAAAGCTTCAGCTGCTCTGAACCACCTCAAACTCCGAGGAAGAAAAACAAAGTGGCAAATAAGAGGAGGTTTAGTGATGAACAAATCAGGTCATTGGAGTGCATATTTGAGTCAGAGTCCAAGTTAGAGCCAAGGAAGAAGATCCAAGTAGCAAGAGATCTTGGGCTACAACCTCGCCAAGTTGCCATATGGTTCCAGAACAGAAGAGCAAGAGGAAAATCGAAATGGATAGAGCAAGAATACAGGAAGCTCAGAGAGGAGTACGACAATTTAGTGTCCAGGTTTGAGACCCTTGAGAAAGAGAAGGAGTCCTTACAAGTAGAGGTAAATATCCTGGTTTCTTCACTTATTAAAGTCTTAAAGCAATTACTCGAGGAAGCAAATTCAGTTTCCTTAGAGGCTGTAACTATGTTTTCTGGTTTTCAACAGCTGCAGAATCTGCACGATCTAATGGAGACATCTCACGATGATGAAGGGAAAAAGAGCACAAATTGGAGGAGTGAAGTGAAGCCAAGTTCCTCTTATAAGGGTTTGGAGGTTAGAGAAGGCATGCATTTACAAGATCAAAGTGATATGAGCAAGAAGAATGGGTATTCTGAAGAAACAGAAAACCAACTTCTGAGAATGGACGAGCTAGAAAAATGGTGCAGTGGGGAGCCAAGCGGTCTCTTAGATCAGCCTTGTAGTTCACAATGGTTGGATTTCTGGACTTGAAAAGTGCGTGAGCTCACACTGCACTGCATTTTGCATGTTTCCTTGAACAAGGAACAGGGCTGATTTATCTCATCCTAGCCTACCACGTTAAAGCATTCCAGCCCAAGCAGGATGTAGAAAAGCTCATGTTGGATTGGAGTAGAAGATCAAAGATGTGAACTTACAGGTTCTGGAGATTTTGCAGTGCAGAATGAAGATGGTTTCACTCATATGATTAGAGATTTATAAGAAAAAATGTGCTATGTCCCTGTTCGTTCAGGCTTGCAAGCCATTCTAATCCATGCAGTGTGGTCCTTTTTTTTTTTTTTTTTTTTCCCTTTTGTTTTTTTCCACTTTTGATTTTGAAGGCGACCAATCCTAAAACATCTAATCTTACCCCAAACCTGTCTTATTACAAGAGCTATGCAAGTGAGGTGTGTAATCTTTCAGGTCATGACTAGCACACATGAAGTATGGGAAATATGTTTGGTATTGCTCGAGTTATGATCATTTCATTGCTTTGTCTTGCTTCTCTTTGATCAACTTTGTTTGATTTTACAATGTCAGTACTGTGACTTAGATAATAGACCATTAAAGATCGATGGTGTTAAAAACAATAAGCAGGGATAGATGAGGAAAAAATGCAGATCCATCTATAAATTTAGTCGTGTTGAAGTCCACTGCCCAACTTCTCAACCTCAGACAGCTTAGTTTAGGATTTGAGTTAAGCCCCCTGCCATATGCTACATTACACACTCTCTGACTCTCGCCCTCTCTCTTGGCAACTTGTTTCCTCACGAATATAAAAGTCGATTCATTTGACAAATCGAACATCAACTATCTATCCAAAATCAAGTTCGAATCTTCCTAACAACTTAAGGTCCAAAAAAAAAAAAATCTTCCTAACAACGTCGTTACACCAGGAGCATACTAGTCTTTTGGGATGTTTAGTTATTGTGTAAACAGTAGTTTTTAAATATTTTATGTGGGGATAAGACAAGAGCAAATTTATTCTAATAAATAACAGTATTAAATATTAATTTTGATTGAATAATTGGCACAAAACAGTATATATCCAGATAGTTAGGCTTTTATTTAGGATTAAATGGCAAAAATGTCCTAGAAGTTTTTTAAAAGCACTGGATACCCTCACTTTTTAGTTGGAGCAACATCGCCCTAGAAGTATGAAAAAATGAGCGATCTTGCCTCACTATTGGATATGAAGTTGGTTGATTGTTAAAACTTCATTTGACCAAAAATAGAACACATGGCATATTGATGTGGATAAATAAAAAATAAAAAAACAACACCTAGGCTAGTGAAAATCTAATCTGTTTTCCGATCGGTGTGAATATGAACACTTCCAAAATGCCTTCAAGAACTACACCAACATCAAAGAGCTTTAGTGGTTTTTGTTCTCCCAGCATTCACTAGCACCAAGAGGCTCAAGATTACGGTCACAACCATATCCTCAACTTTAGGTCATGGTTGGCTAGCACCAATTCAAAGAATCTCACTTTGTCGTGTTAGTGAAGAGTTTCAATGCTAAGGGTTTTAATAATCTCTCATATGAGAACAACAACTGTTAGATAGAGAGGTACAGCGAAAGATAAAAAATTTAAAATCCCTATCTTGATGTGGATCGAACAAACTCATTTAAGTCAAAGTGGATAGAAGAGTTACCTTTTAAGTCAAGTTACCTTTTAAGTTTCAAATTCCATGAGCATTCTGTACAAGAATTTGGATCTCAGAAGCTGACAATATAATTCTGCTTCCTCTGCTAGTATCCACATGAACAACTCTTTAACTCGAACAGCATGCTAGTGCTCCCAACGTTCATTTGTCTTTGAACGTTGTTCTTCCTTTTCTCCATGGTGTTTCATGGCTCGCAAGGGATTTAATCGTCTAGACTCTTTTTGACTTTCACTAGGGAAGCACGCCCCTTTATCTATCATTTTTATATATTAGGGTTTTAACCTTTAATGAACCAATGAAAATTTAATTGAATTTATCTCTTAAATTTAATCCATGATATCATATCTAATTAAATTTATCTTATAAATTTAAATTATAAAATTGACATGATATTCTCTCATATCATGTTAGTTATTAAATTTAATCTATTACATAAAATTAAATTTAAAACTAACACAGTATAATATAATATAATATCAGATATACATATTATACACGCCCACATATTATATTTTAAATTTTATATATTATATGCATGCACACACACACATGAATATATATATATATATATATTTTAAAAAATATATGTATAATTATATTTTAAATTTTATATTTCATATATATATATATATAAATATTTATCAAATAAATATTAAAATATATATAATTCATTTACCCTATATTATATTCATTGAATTTAGACATATTTCAGACTTAATAAACTTAAACAGTATAGCTTGAGTTTGGTTGTTCTCGTATATGACCTTGTAGGCCTATATAAAGTTGATAGTAAGCTAATTATGTTGTTAGCCCACAAGCCACAAATGGCCTCTAGCAATACATTACAACTACTCAATTCATATGGGGATCGATGATCTAATGCATCCTATCATATAACTATATCACATCCCTTCTGTCATGTGATATTTTGGTCAAGTGCGAGACATGAAATTATTATTTTCCTTTACCTAACCATTTTCTTAATATCTAAGTGAACTAATTATAGCAATGAAAAATTCTTTTCATTATAGTATGGCCATACATTTTTCTTAATCTTACTCATCAAGAGGCCTAGTAAAATCTATCAATTAATATGAGGGACAAATTTTATCTTAACCACTCATATTTTTTTGTATAAATACTATTAAACTCAATCATAACCTTTATGATCACCCAATCAAAGGTGACTTTTGACTAGGTCAAAGTTCAGTGGTTATCATGTAGGAATCCATAATGATCTCAGGTCAAAGGATTTAGTAATATGGTCACATATGAGATAAGCTTATGAATTATACCATGCGGCTCTCTTATAGCAGGTCGATATAATACCTTGTACTCTTTCAAGAGCACATGACTTTGATTTATATCTCTATAATTAATTGAAGTCATACTAGTTTTGTTTCATTTATGATCTCTTATAGATGACTAACTAGGGACATTTAGGACAATCATTATAGTTTGTCTAAGAATACAATTATCATAATGAACATGCAACAAAAGAGAAATTTATTAAATAATAATATTTATTGCACAATGATTAGCCCTAGGGTATAATTTTTAATAACAACAAGGGTTCCAAGGTTGAGAACGGCACTTCAAGATTTAGGTCCTATGGCATAGGCTTTATTAATTCCTAGGGTGGCTTCCCTATCCTTTTGTTTTTGTCAACTTAAATTCTAACTGTAGTTCTTCTCTAACACTGTTCGATATTTGGTTTCAACCTTGAGCTTCTTGTTTCTTAAATCATTTTAAAGTTGTGTTTCTTAAAGCCCGATCTAGGAGATTATATTATTGTAGAGGCATTCCCCTCTCTCATGTTGAAGCCAGACCTTCAACTTCAGAGGCGCACAAGTGTTATACTTTTGCATTTTTAGGTTTCAATTTCTATGAAATATGGTTTTGATGTTGTTTGATGCTTCTAGGTTTTATGTTGTTTGGTTCAATCATTTATAGATTTGAGGGAAAAAAATCAAAGCAAATGTGGTTTTGATGCTGTTTGATGCTTATCTGATGGCCAAGTCCTGACAATAAGGAAGGTGCCTTAAGGGATGAGGAAGACAATATAGATAATGAGTGTTGTTTAATTTTTTTTAAATTTTTTATTTATCCACCTTAGCATGCCACGTGTCCTATTTTTGGTCAAAGGAAGTTTCTAACGGTTAGCTAACTTCAAATCTAATGGCAAGGTGAGTTTGTTCCATTTTTCATACTTTCGAAGTGACATTGCTCCAATTAAAAGTTAAGGATATCCGGTGGTCCTTTCAAAAACTTGTAAAACATTTTTGTCCCTTATTCTTTTATTTATGATTACATTGGTTATATGATTTTCAAAAATAAGTGCATAACTTTTATTATATAATATATTTATGATGGCTTTTGACTTGTGTGCTATAAAAAAATTATATCCCAAAATACTGCACAGAGGCAAAATTTATCACAAGACTACAAATTTAAATGTGGCTTGTACCAAACTGATTTATAAACATGATAAACTTAAAAGAAATTGGCTTTACATGTATCGAGTTCTTTTTTTCATGTAGTCAAATTAGAAGTTAGCTTTATTAAAACTAATTTCTCTCTCATATATTGTTAGATCTACATCTGTTTGTTGAAGCATCCTTACCTCCCTATTATTTTTTTCCTCTTTCTAAATTCTAGTTCTTCCAACCATCACTCAACTCATTATCCCACCCCCTAATTCATCCTCCAACAATTAAAGTCAGTAATTTGAATGGGTCAAATTTATTTAAATTAGGCTTAAAATATCTAACCATATAAAAAAGTCCATTGGCCAAGCTTATCTCTGGCATCTCAGGCTTATTCAAACTGGCTCCAATATTTAAATTATTAAATGTTATTTTATTTTTTTCTTTTCTTAGCCAATTTCAATTTTTATTTTAAAACATTAAGATTGTTAATTTTTACATTATTTTTTATTAATAAAAAAGAATTCAAGGATTTGAGCAAAGCCCATTCAAGTTCGAGAAGTCCTAATAATTTTTAAGTAAAGAACATTTTCCAAACTCTTAAATCTAGCCCTAAAATTTTTCAAGTATATTTGCACTAACTTGAATTGCCAGCAATATCATCATTTGCTATTATTTTTTTCTCCATTATAATTCTTCCCAGTTAGAGGTACAGGATAATTTAATTTTAAAATTAATATTTATCAAAAAATGATAATTTAACAATTAAAAATATTTATAATAGGCTAAAAAAGAAAATAATATAATAAAATAATGTTTAACAATTTTGCCAACCAAAACAAGCCCGAGATATTAGAACCAAGCTTAGCTATATAATTTTTTTATATATTTAAGTATTTTAAGTCCTATCCGAATAAGCTCAACTCGTGTAAATTATTAACTCTAAATGTGAGAGGAGGAATCCGGAGTGGAATAACGGGTTGAGTGAGAATTAAAAAGAGAAAAAAAAAATATTAGCGGTAATTGTAACATTTTAAATTTATGACTCATTTTTTTAACAAATTATTAGTTCAATAAATGATTTTTACATCATTGAAATAATTTTTTTTAAAAAAAACTCTACATGGTAGAAATAATTTAAGATAATAAATAAGCTCTACCATAGTAACTAAGATATCATTATAGTAAAAATTTTTCTAATGGAAGACAATGTGGAACAACTCACATCAAAATATCCCTTAGAAGCAATTCATGTTCAAAATCAAGAAAAAATAGTTTTTAAAATCAAAATTTAGCGTAGAAGCCTAACTCAAGGTGACCAAATCCCAAACAATTTTTAAATGTAAATTTTTGACATAACTATATGACCTAAATGTACATCTAACTCAATATATAACAAGTCTTATATAAGTACTAGCATTTTTCAAGCGGATAATTGTTTAACAGAACCCAAAATAGGTCCAACATACGTTCATCACAATTTGACACTTGTCCTTAATAAAAAAGGGTTATAGGATATACACTTATCCATAAACACATATTTACTAATTAATTAACACTTACAAATGAATTTAGTTATATTAATAATATTCTAAAAAGTAATTAAAACCACGAGAAACAGATAGGATCTTCATAGTGAAGCATAATTTTTTTATCAAAGCCCATGAGGGATAGGCAGAATTCTCATGGCATAACATCAAATCAAATCAAGGATCAAGAGGAATGGATAGAATCCTCTTAATCATATAGATGTATCAAATTGAAGATTCGAGACCATATGCTCTACAAAATAATATATATTTTAAGTTGGTACAATATACTTTGCATAAATCAAAATAGAAGGCAATAAGAAAGTGATATCTCGTACACCAAAATTTACGCCTCTAGTGCTTCCTCAGCCAAACTCGGTCTTATAAAAATATTAACAATGGAGAATGAGATTTAAAAGTTATAGTAACCAAAAATTAATATGTAATGATGTTTGTGGATGTGACTATTCATGCGAACACACCAAAATATTTAACCGAGCAATATTTTCAAACAAATTAAACAAATACTTCATTGTATGACTACATTTGATATCCTTCTTTTATCACGCCCGGATGCCAAATCACGTGGTGAGTTGGGCCAAGCTACATGTTACTCATTGGGTCCAATGAGGGCTTACCACGTGGTAATAATTAACTAAACAAAAATTTCTAACAACATCATATATTAAAATACCCTGATAAGTCATGCATAATTTAAACAATAATATCTCATCATAATACGCATAAACAAATTTTAACGTACTTGATAATAATTTTGAACAAATATATACAATATTTGTTTTCAAACAAAATTATAATTTTTCAAACAACAAACAACGCATAACCAATTACAAACACACACAACCATCACAATATATTGATAATGGTTACCTTATATCTTGAATAACAAGTTTTCCTTCAAAGCTCTCTTTCATCACTCTCCTTGCCAATACAATCTACACAATTATTTTATAATATTATATATTAATTTTACATTAAAATAAATAAATAATTTTAATTTAAAGAGTTAGAAAGTTTTAGATCTAAGACCCATATTAACATTAATTCAAGGTTAGTGCCTCATTTAACTTTTTAAAATTTTCTTCTAGATTTCTCATATCCTAATAAACTATAATTAAGCCTTAAATAACTCCTAATATCACAAATTTATCAACCAATATTTCAAAAATTCATTCAAAAATAAATTAAAAATTTAAAAATTATTCTCAAGTCTAAAATCACCATTCCACAGTCTTAGAAATATCTATATATGGTTAAATAAATATTTAATAATCATAAATTCATCTCAACATTCAACATAAACTCAATCATATAAATTTAGAGTTTAGTTCAAAAATTCTTAAATTTGAGTTTCAATTTAAACAAAAATATTTTATAGCATTTATTACCCTCCCAATAACCTCAACATTCATTTTAGATTATCATAATTTCAGATTAACTATCATATATAAAAGTCCTAATCCTTAAATTTGCTCTGCCAACTTTAATATTTATACCGCTAGAAAGTTCTTATCATGTAAGATAATTTTTGCGAAGGAGAGTTTTTGAATTATAAGTGGTTTTAAGTACTTACACAAAAATGGCAGACGCAGACTAGAGCGAAGAAGAGGAAGATGCCATTTCTTTTCCTCTGCGAATGAAAAAGAACAAAATGGCAGACGCAGACTAGAGCGAAGAAGAGGACGATGCCATTTCTTTTCCTGTGCGAATGAAAAAGAACAATGGAGGAGGAGGGGAATATAATATGAAATGAAGATGTGAGTCTCACAGGGCATCCCCCTCCATTTGTTTTTTTTTTTTTAACATATAGATTATATACTCCTTTCTTATAAAAATATAAAATATTTTTAATTAAATTTTATTTTCAATAAATAGTTAATTGTCTTTAAAATAATTCTATTTTTACATATTTACCTTCATTTAATAAAGTGTTTTATCCTAAAATAAATATAAAGTAATTTATTTAATAGAGATACTTTTAAAAAAATTATTACATCTTAAAAAATTAAAAATATTTTATATTTTTTAATATATAATTTCTTAAAAAATATTTTATATATTTTTTTAAAAAAAGTATGTATTAGTTTGCATGCCGTCGGAATCGTTTCACCGATTTCTTCTTCTTTTATTTTCTTTAACTTGTACTTTTTATTTATTCTATTCTCTCCTTTCTTATATATATATTTATTTTATTTCATGTTATGTCACCACCATCATTCTCATCATCAGCTCATCTTTAAATTATATCCTAACTTAAGATAATAAATATCTCTTATATAATGATAAGCTTAAATTTAATTTATAATTAAATGCTTAAACGTGTGATTAATTTCAAATAATTTTGAATACAAATTTATTTTTTACCTTAAATTTCAAAACACTATAAATTTTTAATTTTAAATTCTCAATAAAACTCAAATTTTACACTTTATTTATTATTTAAAAATTAAGTTGTTATAGCAAGGATGTTAAAACAATGAATATTTCATAAAGAAATTAGTTTTAATGAAGCCAACTTATAATATGACAATATGAAAAAAAAAAAAAGAAAACTCGACACATGTGAGGGGAATTTCTTTTCAGTTTATCATATTTATAAATCCGTTTGGTATGAGCCAAGTTTAAATTTGAAGCATTTTGGTAAATTTCTTCCACCATGTAGCGTTTTGGGAAATATTTTTTTAGAAGAATTTTAAATAAGGATCAAGGATGTGATTTAATTATTAGCGAGTCTCAAAAAAATTTAAAATTTTAGTTCAGTTTAGAGAAATAAAAGTGAAAATAATTTCAATTGTAAAAAGATCAAAGTATCCTTTACTTATTATACAGAATCATTAGCTCAACTAGTTCAATTGTTAATTTTTTTATTTTACTTATTAATTTACTAATATAAGTTATAAATTACATGAGTTAATATATCAATAACTATATAAGACTTAACGTTAATTATTTAATTACAAGTAGCAATAAAATTGTTAAATTACTAACTTAACTTGTTAATTTACTAACATTAGTTAAAAATTATTGATGTGTCTTGTAATTTATTAATATCATTTATAAATTACTAACAAGTCTTATAATTTACACTGATGTTAATAAATTAACGAGTAAAATTAGTAAATTAATAACTAATGTTATTGCTTGTTCAACAAACAGATATAATTTATAAGTGATATTAGTAAATTAATAAATAAAGTAAAAATTAATAATTAATAATTTCACATAACCAAGTGAAAAGTATTTCAGTTTTTTTATATTTAAAATTATTTTTATTTTTATTTTTATTCCCTGAACTAAATTAAAATTTTAAAATTTTTTAAAACTCACTAATAATTAAATTACATTCTTATTTTTTATTTAAATTTTTTCCTAATTTTTTTCCCATATAGCACATATGTCAAAAGCTTATTTATAATTTTTGTTCGAACAATAATTTGTTTACTTTTTTTTTCTTGGCCAACAATTTTTTTTTCCCCGCACACAGCAAATGTACAAGAATCTACTTTTATATATCTGTTTCCACTCCACATAGAGCTATCCTTATGCGCGGACGATGACTGAATCGGTTACCACACAGCCAAAAGCCAATGAGACTGCCTCCGGTGGTAACCTAAGCTAAGCTCTTTAGACACTGAGGATTGCTGTCTCAGCTCCAAAGCGATAATCTAATATCAGTAATTAGTTATGGTACTCTCGGCTTGCTCTCTCGGGCCTTCTAACCTGAACCCTTTACCTTCATCTTCCCTGTTCAAGCCTCTCAAATTTCCTCCCTTCTGGCCAAGGCAAAAAGTATATGAGATTCTTCTTTACAGTATCTTATCTTTTCTGTTCGGTTTCCTTTTGAGGTCGGGTGTTTCAATAGTAAGCTTCAACGATAATGGCAGGTGAAGATGGGTCCCCTGAGCGTGTCTCCGATGGGGTTTGGAACGTGGGCATGGGGCAATCAGTTTCTTTGGGGGTACCAGGAATCGATGGACAACGAGCTTCAACAAATCTTTAATTTGGCTGTGGAGAATGGGGTCAATCTCTTTGATACTGCTGACTCTTACGGAACGGGGAGGTTAAATGGGCAGAGCGAGAAGCTTCTGGGACGATTCATTCGAGAATTTCAAGGTGAATATGCGATTCCTTGCTGAATTTCAGTTAATGATTAAACATCATATCACGTGGTTCATTTTATTAGTCAGTCATGGGTCCGCTTATTTTTTATGTCCATGTGCAAAGCATCTTATAATTTCATATAATGGAAAAGATTTCCTAAACTTGTTCACAAGATATATTTGGAAGAATGCGAACATCAAATTGTCTGATAATTGATGAGCTCTCGACTGTAAAAAGTGCGTGTGCCTTGCAGTTCTTTTTTTTCACACCCAATTGCATAGATAATGGTCATGCTAGAACGAGCTGAAGTTGTTGTTTATTTCTATGATTGAGGTGTGCATGTAGTTAGGCCCTCCTAAGTGCTGGTTGTTTGGTTGATCTTAATACTTATTATCAATGTAATGTATAGAAACAGCCTAGAATTTGTATGGCGCAAAATAAGTCTCCATATAAGCATTGCTGTAAACGAGAATACTTTAAAAAAAAAAAAAGAAAAAAAGAAATTCCACCCCGATACTATTAGATCACAAGAGCTCCACTTTTATGTCATCACGGGAAATCATGCTAGCTTGTCAAGATGAATTTTTCCCTTTGTTTATAAAAATTGAGTGTTCAGGGCAAAAGGGGGGCCAGGGTGAGATAGTAATTGCCACAAAGTTTGCAGCATATCCATGGCGCCTAACACCAGGTCAATTTGTGGATGCTTGCAGGTATTCTTTCATGTTGTCCCTCATGTTATAATTCACCTAAATAATTACTTAATTAATTGATCCACTCTTCTTAAATTCTTCCTGGCCTCCAAACATGACAAATTCAAGATCTGCATTATCTTTTCTGTGATGACATTAACTTCTAGTCTGACATATTATCAGGGCATCTCTAGATCGAATGCAGCTCGAGCAAATTGGGATAGGACAACTACATTGGTCAACTGCTAATTATGCTCCTTTGCAGGAGCGAGCTCTCTGGGATGGTCTCGTGGCAATGTATGAGAAGGTTACCATAACTCATAGTCAGTGGTAGGATTACTTGGTGCATATGATAGACTCTTGAGTCAACAATCTTTAGGGTGTATTTGGGAGTTGGAAGGAGAGATAGAAGGAAGAGATTCAAAGAAAAGTAGAAAACCAAGGCGGAAAGGACCCCTTACCATAACTTGACTTCATCCTTCCAAATCTCCCAAATTGGGGGAATGTAAAATGTGGAGAAAAATTTTGAAGGATTTTGGAAGGTATCCTCACCTTATTCTTATAACTCACGCGGGAAATATTTTGATGAAACCTTCCTTCCATTCTCCCAACCCAAACATCACCTTAAATACTGCCTCTAGAGTCCTGAATGTGTTTATCCTAACGTTGTAATTGGCATTAGCTGTGCAACATGTCATGATAGTATTATAAACTTCACTGGGAGGAACACACAAACCGCACCTTGCCAGTATTGAATCTGGCTTCCATTACTCAGGGTGCCTGTATAATTTCTTCACTGGTTTCGCTTATTCTTTGTCAAATTCAACTGAACAAATGCACATTGAATTCTATTAGCTACTTCAAAAGTACAATCCTATCAGTATCTTCATTGATTAAATATACCATAATTATTAATCGTAACTATGTTGCCCTTCAGGGTTTAGTTCGAGCTGTTGGAGTGAGCAATTATGGACCAAGGCAACTTTTGAAGATACATGATTATTTGAAAGTTCGAGGAGTCCCCTTATGCTCAGCCCAGGTGCATACATAAATATTTATTTTTAACTAAAAAATTTTAAGTTGCACGTCTGCTGGACAAATAGGCAGTTACTTGTAGTTGTAGTCCTAGGGTCTCTATAGTGACAAATAAGCATAGTCTGACTGTCGGACCAGTTATAACTGATAAGTGTCTTTCAGATAGAAAAGAAAAATTTGGTAAGAAAATATACTTAGTAGTTACAATTAACCAGTAACATGGATTATTGCGTTTCTGGAGAACTTCAATTTGATGAACGTGATTTGCCTGAGAAACTAGAAGCTGTTGTGAGTTTTTGGGGACATCGGGCTATATTTAACTGTCTGTAACCACCGAACAGAATTATCATGTTCTGTTTGTTCTCTTACTGTTCTTCATGTTTCAATAATTTCCAGGTGCAGTTTTCTTTGCTAAGCACGGGGAGAGATCAATTAGAGATCAAGAATATATGTGATTCTCTAGGCATTCGCTTGATTGCTTATAGTCCTTTAGGACTTGGAATGCTTACAGGGAAATATTCACTATCCAAACTTCCAACCGGGCCTCGGTGTGTTGACATTTAAGTTTCTTTCTTTCTTGACATATGAGTCATACCATTGATTGGCCGTTAATTTCATAAAATTGCGCATTATTAGCCTTTCTGAATTGAAACCTGGCTACAATGTTGCTTCACAGGGGCTTGCTGTTCAGACAAATCCTACCTGGATTGGAGCCTCTATTGAGTTCCTTGAGAGAGATTGCAAACAAACGACGCAAAAGCATGGCGCAAGTAAACATCTTTTCCCTTTGCTTGTACACGCAAAAGCCTGCTGCCATACACTTAATAGGCGTGGTTTACATGCCCATAAATTACCCAGGAGAAGAGGGTGTATGTTCCCAGCGGCAATAACGTAGGAACCAGTAATGAAGTGGTTAATATGATGGCAGGTAGCGATAAATTGGTGCGCGCGCAAAGGGGCAATTCCAATACCAGGAGTCAAGTCAATGAAACAAGCACAAGAGAATTTGAGCGCTCTTGGATGGCGCCTTTCTTCAGATGAGTTGTTTCAATTAGAATGTGCAGCACAGGAGTCTCCTCGCAGGATGATCCAGAACATTTTCCAAACCAAGTAAGCATAAATAGCTGCATATACTAGCGTCTTTGACCCCAAAAAAAAAAATTCTGAGATAGACTGGCTTTTATTACAGATAAACGATGAAACGTGGCATCCACAGAAGTTAAAGACCTGGAAACACTTCACAAGGGTTCCAATGGTTATACAGACCCGCCAAATGTTCTGGGAATGCTATGCAACAGAATATAAGGTTGGCCTGAAAGCCATTGCTAAGCTTGATTGAAGCAGCATGACTGATAAGCGTCAGATCACTGCATTGTAAAGGCACTTTAAAAACATTTGCTTGCTTCCATATACAGAATGCCTTGACGATGTCGCCTCCAGAATGTTAAGAGTGCAACTTAAATTTTTTTTTTTTTTTTTGCCAAATGCAACTTAAGTGTTCAAGTGAGCTATTTAATCTTTCCCAGTAAATTTATAAAAAGATATTGGGAATTTTTAGTAAGTTAATAACTAATCGTACAAGGTTGACTTATAATTTGAAATGCACATAAACCGATAGCAACCATTTAAGCATACTTGCCCAGGTTATTGTCAGCAAAAACCAAAATGTTAACACATAAAACGGAAACATAATTCGTTTCAAGGCATCTCAAACAGAAGACCAAAATCATAATAGAACTATCTATGCCAGTGCAATTTTAAAAATATTTGTAGCTCAACTACAAACCTACAATACTAACAATCTAGAGCTATCAGGACTCCAAGGCGCATCTCGAAATCCATGATAACACTGCGTAACTTGAATGAGAGACTGTTTACTTAATCTTCTTCTTTGGCCTCAGCTGCATTTTAAGAAATAAACGCATTGATTAAACTAAAATAATTACAATAGAAAAACGACTATATTATGCCAACTAGTCAGCACATGTAACAGAAACAACAACAACAACAAGCCTTTATCCCACTAGGCGGGGTCGGTTACATGGATTGCAAGATGTCATTGTGCTCTATCATTTATCAAGCTTTTAGAAATATTATTAATTAAAAAATCGCGTTCAATAACTTCCAAGAGTGTTCTCTTAGGTCTTCCTCTACCTCTCTTAATCGGACTCAAAGTTATATGTTCCACTCTTCTCACTAATACCTCCCTTGGTCTTCTTTGTACATGTCCAAACCATCTCAACCAATTTTCTACCATTTTTTCCTCAATAGGTGCCACCCTTACTTTTTCGCGTACGCGCTCATTTCGAATTTTATCTTTACGTGTATGTCCGCACATCCATCGTAACATTCTCATCTCTGCTACTCCAACTTTATGCTCTTGTTGTCCCGTTAGAGTCCAGCATTCACTACTATATAACATTGCCGGTCTGATAGCAGTGCGATAAACATAACAGAAACAATCGAACAAAATAGCAAACCTGGTTGCTGTGTCCACATTTCTTCTTCCTGCAGTTGACAGCACGAGGGTGTAAACGAGCATAGCACCTGCAAAGTTGCATGAGATATAAACATGATCTTATTCTTACGTTAATGACAAATGTCAAGCCCATTCATCTAATGCAAGCATTTGGCCATTAATATCTCCAAAGACATGGGAATTGCCATATGATGAAACTCAAAATTATGCCTTGGCCAGAATCCACACAGACCAGCTATCTTCCATCCAGTAACCGAACAATAGCAGTACAATATTGTGATAACATAAGAAATACATGTAATATTTCATCATACCAAGAACATCCTACTTCATACGATTTAGAATCATTGTCTGAAAGGAAGAGTCAAAAGTCCCACTAAAATTTAGAAGTTGCTGAACGTGAACGTGAACGTGAACGTGACGCGTATTTTAAATGACATTGAAAAATTTCCTGCTATCAAATTTGGGAGACAAAAAGCAAAAAGCAGCATGATAAAAAATTCAGCAGATCAAGGTCCCTTCAAAAAATTCAAAAATCAAGATTGATGGTTCACATTATTTTTCAATACTAATATTTTGGAAATACTTTCCTCTTGGCAAATCATATGCAACAATTTATAATCTGGGTCCCTGCTATGAACATAAAATCTATTCTGTGATAACTTACTTGCGGCAGATCATCTTGTCCTGATTATATTTCCTGGCCAATGCCATCAATGACGGCTCAATAATGCCACCTCTAAGCCTCAAAACAAGGTGTAATGTTGACTCTGCAAAATATGTGATGGATCAAATAAGATTGATAACTCAAGCGGGAGATAAAAGAAGTTTATAACATCTAGTTTAGAAACACAGACAGGTTGAATCAAATCTGACTAATCACAAACTAAATAATGCTCTTCTCTAATTCCCAGAAACACACCAGCAAGAGACATAAAACAGGACAATCCATGTTCCAAAACCTCTTGAGAAAATCAAAACGATTATTCATATTTCTTGTTGGGATCGAAAGAACAACAACACAGACAACTTTACCTATCATTTTCTCCACATATTTTCCCTCGCTTTTAAGCCATCTAAACAGCCTCAGTGGTGAGAATTATTAGACTAACCTTTCTGAATGTTATAATCGGCAAGAGTACGGCCATCCTCCAGCTGCTTCCCGGCGAAGATCAACCTCTGTTGGTCCGGTGGAATGCCTAGATGAGAAGAACAAACAACGGTTAATAATTGAGAGCAAGAATGATTACGGATAATTTAATTCAACCACACGACGAAGAGATATGCCTTCTTTGTCCTGAATCTTTGCTTTGACATTGTCAATAGTATCACTGGATTCGACCTCAAGGGTGATGGTCTTGCCGGTCAATGTTTTCACGAAGATCTGCATGTCGGCCGATTTCTTAGGCGCCTCCTCCCCGTAATGGATAGGGTTTTTCTGCGGATGATGCTTGTTTCATATAGGGGGAGAGAATTTCTAATTTGGGTTTTTCAAAAAATTTCAGAATATATGAATATTTTTAATAATTAATATAGCGTATAAATTAATTTTATTTTCAATTCAATCCTTAAATATATTAGTATTAAATTATTATATTATTTTAATTTTATTTAAAATTTTAAAAAAGGTGAATTTATGTGTCAGGTGAGAAGAGATAATCAAGTTCGAATTTTAAATAGAGAATTATTTATAAATAATTTTTATGAATTTTTTAACGAATGTTGAAATTTAAAAATAAGTAATTTTTAAATAATTTAAAAATTAATATCATTTTATAAAAAATTAAGAAAAATATTTGAACAAATAAAAAAATTTAGAAATTGAAAATTATAATAAAAAAACATGAAACACATCATAAAATAATAAAAGAAAAAGAACCAATAATAGAATCAAATAAGGAAGAAAAAATAAATCAAAAAGAAAACAATAGATTAGCAAAATTAATGTTAGAAGATTATAGTATAATAAATAAAATAAAACAAAATCAACAAAGAGTTAATATAAATATGGCAAATATAATAGATGATGATGTAAATGAAATATATTAACAAGAAATAAAAGAATTAATGGAAATAAAAGAAAAGAAAAAATAAAAAATTAAAGAAAGAATATGATCATTAATTAAATAAAAATTATGATGAAAAAATAATAAACATGCAAAATGTTCAGATAAAACATTTTAACCCTCCAAATATAAATAGCGAAGGATATGCAAATATGGATACAGAAAATAATAAAGTAATAATATAAAAAACAAAAGTGAAAGATGATGGAGAAGAAGAATTAGAAAGTACGTTTAGAATTCATAAAGAATTTTATTATAATATACTTTTTGAAGTGACCTTTAATATATTAAAAAATAATAAATTTATACCTATACCTTTAACACAATACAAAACTAGAAATATATCAAATATAAGAATATGATTAGACGTAAACTGTAATTTAGATAATAAAAAAAATATTAGAAGAATGGGGTAAATTAACATTAATTGCATTAATAGAAAAAAGTATAGATACACAAACAGCAAGTTTATTAGTAGAAGCAACATTTATACAAAATATACAAAATTGATAGAGAAGTAAATTTCAAGAATTTAGAAATAAAGCAAGACAACCAAACAAAAGTTATAGCAATAAAAAAGAATATTATGCAATATTAGTAAGAAATTATCAAATATTAATAAGAAATGAATTTATAGGAAAAAGTTCAGAACTAAATGAAAAAACTAAAAAAGGTATAGCATTAAAAAAATTATATAAAATAGAAATATGTTCATTAGAACTAAAATATTTAAATACCTATATTTGTAAATATAAATAATATTATTATGAGGCAAGATTAGAAGATTTGAAAAAATTTTATTTAGATTTGTTTTATATAAAATTACCTCTTTTAATATCAGATACAATAATAGAATATTATTATAAAACTTATAGAGCACTAAAAGAAGGAACTGAAAGAATAAAAACTAATTGAGGAGATATAAATATGATAGATGCTATAGACACTGTGGGAAGAGGAGTAGAATTTTTTAAGAGAATATTTATCTGAAAAATGTAAACAAACATTAAGAAATATAAAATATTATAAGACTAAAATAAAATAATTTTAAGATGTGAAAAATATCAAACACCTCACAATTGGGGATGCAAACCAAAAAAATATAAAAAACATATAGAAAGAAAAGGAGGTCTAAATATAAATTCAAAAAAATATCCAAAACATAAATTTTATAAAAAATACAAACCATGAAAATTCTTTAAAAAGAATGGAAAAAAATAAATTATAATAAAAAACTCAAAAATGTAAATGTTATAATTGTGGAGCAGTATGACTTAGATCAACTAATTGTCCAAAATATAAAGATAAAAGAACTATAAAAATATTATAGGAAGCATATGAATATGATTTAGAACCATTAAAATTTGATGAAAAATTATCAAAAATAAAAAGTGAAATAGAAAATTTAGATATAGGAATTTATAAATAAAAAATTAAAAGTAATATTGTAACATCCCAAAATTGTAACACACCAAAATTTTTTTTTAAAATAATTTAACTCAACTATAGTTAGGTTACAGCCACCCAACACATTTTTATATCAATAATTTCAATATAAAATATTTTATATTTGGCTTCAACTCACATACTATAACATTTCAGATAAATTTTTACCTTCCACATGCCATTAGGCTAAATCACATTTGTCCATCCTTATACTCCCAACAAGTAAAATAAGCAATTTAATAAATTTTCAACACAAGCCAGTTATTTGGCCTTATAATCATGCCATTTTAACCAATACAAAGTAAATCAAATATTAAAATTACAGTCATCCAAATTGTACCAAAAATAGAAATAGTTTGAAAGGCATGATTACATTTATATATTCATATAATTGACAATAAACAAAAAGCCCTAATATTGGCAATATAACACATTATAAATCATAAATTAAATATCCAAAAGAGACAGTGGATTTATACCACTAAGCCTCTGGGACTCCTCCACGTGTCACTCGTGGCTCTTCTCCTGAAAATTGTTAACCACATAATGAGACTCAAAAGTCCCAGTAACCAAAGCCAATTTATGATAGTGTATACAAACAGTTAAGTGTGTGCTTACTAAGTGAGAATTAAAAATAATATAATTCCAACAAATATAAGAAATATTACAATAAACACAAACAACCATCCTTATATCCCTCCATTAACCTCGAGCCGTAGCCCTCACTCGGTGCTAAATTATCCGGCCAAAGGTAGATTAGCCCGAGCCCTTACAAGCCACCTATTGAGCTCTAATAGGGGCGTACCACGTGGCACATAAATACAACAATAATAGCAAGTCTCCCAACACCTTCCACAATAATTAAACAAATTCATAATAATATTGCACAATTATACAATATTACAAAATTCATAATTTTCTCAATAATCACCCAATTAACATGAAGTAACACTAATCACAAATTAAAAGCATGGTTACCTCGTGGCTTTTTCAATAAATTATTCCTTAAAATTTCTCTCTCACCACAATCTTCACCAGTAATACAATCTACAAATAACATATTATTTATAAATATTAGTTTCAATTTTTGAAACTAATAAAATAATTCTAATAATAGAATTAAAAATATAACATAATTTCTAATCTCAATCTTAATACAAATCTAGAGTCAATACTATTAAGTAAAATTTTTAACTCCTCTTTTAATTATCAATAAACATTAATAATCTAAAAATCAACTTCTAAACTAATTTTTATTATCAAAATTTTCTTTTTATTTCATAAACTCGTACCTAAAATACCCAAAAATTAAAAATTAAGTCTCTAGCTTAGAATCATAATCCTATAGCCATAATAATTCATTTATCATCCTAAATAATCATCTAAACCTCAATAAATCAACATATATTTTCAGATCTAGTCTAGAATTTGATCCATAAGCCACAGATTCAAAGATCATCAATAAATTTATACTCTAGAACATTTATTATACTACTGACAACCTCAAAAACCATATTTATTCAACATAAATTCATCCCTCTTCCAGATCTTAAATTTTCTACCACTACAAACTCAGAAACTAAAGAAGAAGGATGACTAAGAAAAAATTTTAGAACACTTACTTAGTCTTGAAAAGCTTAAAATCACACCCTAAATATCCTATTAAAAATTCTTACCTTAAAACCAGCACCGGTGAACTTGGCTCACAGATGCTCTCTCTGCCTCAGCTCATGCACGAAAGAAGGAATGAAGAAATGAAGGAACAGGTGAGTTTTTATAAAAATTCAGTGGGTCCCACACATTTTTTTAATTCTTTTCTCTCTCTTCTTTCTTTTTTTTATTATTATTTTATTTTACTGTTGAGGCGGCCGAAAGCATTCACGTTTTCTTCCTTCTTCTTTCTCTTTTTTTTTTTGCATACCTTTTCCCTTTTTTTATTATAATAATAATTTAATAATATTTTTTATTATTTTTTAATTAATTTTTTTTAATAAATTTTTTTTAAAATTTTTTTTAGAATTATATCCTAAATTAGATTTAATAATCATTTTCTACTAATTTTCTTACCTCTAAATATTATTATTATTATTTTTTTAAAATTTCTATTAACCCAAATTAACTATTAAAATTTAAATTGGGATGTTACAAATATAGATGATAGTGAAGAAGATATAGAAGAAGAATACACTTATATGATAAACAAAATAGAATAAAAAGTTAAAAGTAGTAACCAAAATAATAATTAGGATGAAAGCAATGAATATGATGAATATGAATAAGTTATAAAAATAGAAGAAGGAATAGTACAAAAAAGAATAACATTTGATCAGAAACAATACGATAAAATAAAGATACTACGCTAAATCTTAAACCAAAAGAATTAAAAAATAAAAATTTTATGAGTAAAATAAATATGTTAGTAGAATTTAAAAAATAAAAAAAATATGCTTGTGTAGTATTAGAAAAAAACATCCCATAAAATCAACTTTAACAAAAGGAGTATTAAGGATACCCTTGATTACCAAACAATTAATAGATACAGAGATTAATAAATTATCTTTTAAATATGTAGTAACAAAAATATATATATCTAGAATACAATTATTACTAAAAGTCTATTTTCAAGAAGAAGAAAAATACATCAATAAAAATATTAATAAAAGATGGAAGAATTATAAGTAGTATAGAAGATAATATTTTAAGAATATTAACAAGAAATCCAATTTACCAAAAGTTAAAATTTACAATAAATACTAATTTTTGTATTTCTAAAGCAGACAAACATATAAACAAAACACTATCAGTATATCATAAATTAGGAGAAATAAAATTATTATCAAGATTAAGAACAATAAGTATAACAGCAATGATTGGATTAATATTTACAAATAAACATAAAATTTATAAAAGAAATAAAGAAAAATTAACAATAA